TTAGAACAGTTTAGACGCGAACGTGCTTTCCAATACCATCCCAAAATGCAAAGTCATCAAAATATGTTAAACATGTATACAGTATGTTGGACTATGTTCCTAGTGCTTTTCGAGGGCCTGGGATGTTCTTACTCATCTGCCGGCACATACTCTTAGAACATCGCAACCTATACACTTAGAACTTCCCACCTGTTTGTTTTTGTCCAAAATATGTTCTATTCGTTTGTCTTACCGTATAAGGTCCTTTTCAACGTGTTTTTCCAGCAGATACTGTGCCAAGCTACAAAAGGCCGTGTTGTGACGTGAACTGGCCCAGGTCGGTGCCAGGACAACCACACGCTCTGGCCCAAGTGCAAAGTACCTGAGATTTGGGCTGCTTCGATTGTATTCCCTTTTGAATCTGAGCTTGCTCACTGCCTCTTGGTCTGGAATGCAGTGGAATCGATAATAAGGTTTGGGCAGCCCCAGTGCACCCGAGCTTTACGGTTACTCAACCAACTCCGGCAACCCAAGTGGTCTACCAGGCCTTGCCGCCGGCTTTGCCTCCTGATTTTACTTCAGAAGCACTCTCAGTGCCTGGCAGGCACCAGCAATGCCAGCCGCTACTGCGCTAACAAAGGTGGAACAATTGTCACCGTGTTATCACCGTGTCTTTTTGCACCTGGTTTGGCTTGCCGCATGCCTCTCCCAATATTTACTCACTATATTTACTCCCAGCAGAGTGTCAAGACAAAGTGGTTCCTTGTAGCGACCAGAAACCTCTCGTGTCTAAATTTTGGAGGTTCAGATTCCGTTTTGTGCTTTCAAGGTGTCAGAAGCACTTCCTGCGGAGCCAACCGTCAGTGACCAAGACTCGAATCAGATGTCAGATTCATGTGAGTGGACGTTTCCTCCAATTTAAGCTTCTGAAGCGGCTACATCATCCCAGGGAGTAGAAGATTGTTGAATCTGAATGATCTATTATACAAATTAGAAAGACTGAGCTGGGGGCCACTGGCGGACTGTTCTTGACTTTTTGAAGATCAGGTCCTAAGTTCCGTCCAACAAATGCCAACATATCCTGTCATAGCCTTAGACAATCTTCAGGATCCGGACCGGAGCATCTTAGATCTCTGAAAAGCTTGACGACGTACGTAAAAATTGATGGGATAAAGACAGATCAGAAAAGCATTTGATTGATTCATGGGCTTCGCAACATAGTGCGCCCACACTAGGTTTTCCTCATGAAGCACTCATTTAAATGAGTTGTTGGAACTGTTACTGTCCCTCCAACAATCATGGAAGTGGATCAGCCCATGTTAGTAGAGCAAAGCTGCCTTCCAAAGGGCTGTGGTCCACTCCCATGTTTGTTGGAGAGATGGTAAAGGCCAAAATTATCCAACCATCCACCAACTATTGAAACGCATCCACAAATACATCCATACAGAAAAACAAGGACTATCTACAGTCGCCATTACCAGACTACGCCTGTGCAGTACATCCTGACAGTGCCGGGAGATGCGCTCAACAGTGCATCTCCCAAACCCAGCAATGATGCGAGAATTACTATGACATGTCTAAATTGAAAGCATTTCTATAATTCCAGACCTTCAGGTTGTTGGAGCGAACGAAGTGAGTAAAGGGGGTGTGTGGGGGGGGTGGTTGCGTGGTGGCTACTTTTCGGAGAGGTGAACCCAGAGACTGGTGGGGGAGAGCGACAAAAAGAGGCGGGCCACTTGGTAGTGAAAAACGAGTGGTTTGAGGGGTGTTGTGATGCCGGTGATGTAATTGACGGCCAAGAGTGCATCATCAGCATCACGAGGGGCTCAGGAGGCCATGTAAACAGTTTTTTTAGGGTCGGAGTTCACGTCAATGATAGGACAGAGGGGACAACGGGACGCGAAAAGTGGTTGGAACCTGTCCAGAAAGAGGGAGATGTGCACCTCTCATCGCCAGTGAAATAGTGTTCGACCAGAATGAAAGGGAGGTGTGTGTCTCTTAAGACATAGTGTGATCTGTGAGGAACCAGAATGCTGGGAAGGTGGAAGACAGGCATAGCGTAGGAGGACGTGGTAGCAAAAGAGGGGTTGCAAGAAATGTTAGAGTTGCTTGGGGGTGCCCGTTTTTAATGGTGAAGACGCCTGTCAACTATACGCCAAAGGGCACCTCATATGGGGAGCGAGTTCCTGTAATGCTGTGGGCAGGAAAGAGAACAAAATGCAGCGGGCAAGCTTTGAATTGCTTGGGGGTGCCCTTTTTGACGGTGAAGAGGCCTACTTGCCGGACTCAAAAGGGCACCCCTAGTTGCCAGACCACAGAGGTTAGCAGTTTGGGGCAATTTGAAGTGGCCAGCTGTTGCTGGAAACCATAGCACTTGCTCGTAATTACATTAAAGGCTTAAATGAGAACAAAGAGACATCTAATCACGATAGCCAGCCGTCAACTCATAGACCGACACACCATACCAAACCTTCCCCGGACTACAGGGGTGCCCTTTTTCCCGTCCACAACGCCCCGACGTCCCAAACCTAAGTATTCTAGTGTCTATTTCCATTCTTTCTCAAATGCAGCCATATCCACTTCACCACTTCCAGCTCCTCTTTGTCCACTCTACCTATATACATATATGTATCTTCACGAAAACCTGCCGATAGCCTCGCACATGGCCCCCCACGGCCGTCTTTAACTTTGCTCACTGATTCGCAACACGCCGCAGGCAAGCGCCCCTCACTTCCTTAGGGGTGCCCTTTTTCACCTCCAAAACGCTCCTGAACCAGGACGAAAAAGGGCACCTTCTACTTTCTGCTTCTACCCCCTATAAGTGTGGCTGCGATGTCAACTTCACCCCATGAAAGTACTCTTTGCCCGATGTTACCCAATCACTTCATCTTGCACGCCAAGTCTCTGGCCAGGCTTGCCCTGAGGGCACCCCCTAACCCAGAGGCTGGCTTTCGTCCCGTTCCTTCTCAGGCTGAGGTCATTGCAAACTTTGAAGGCCCTTTCAAAAAACGTCTAAGCAAGTGCCGGCTAAAGCAAGTCTGACATATAATGCAGATGAAGCGCCTTAGTGCCTTCTGTGTCTGCAGATTTTGATCTATCAGTTTGGTGTGGTGATTGCTGAGGATCTGGCCAGCTCTGCACAGAACTACGCGCCGTCCACTCTGGTCGGTGGAACTGTTTCGTCTGCCAGAGTCTTAGACTCTGAGGTGTGGATGTTTCATACATTCATGGCCTCAAAATGTGAATCATACGATTGTAAGTCTATAACAGGCCCATTAGCAGAGCAATGTAGAAATCTTAAAGAGCCTGCGGCAACCCCTTGGCCTCTCACTAGCCGAGAATCACGGTTTCCGGGAGGCCGTGGTGATGTGCGCAGTCATATGTGTGCCTGAAAGATTGCATGCCTCAGTAAAAGCATGTAGATGGCGAAACTGCGACAAATTTATTTTGTCTAAACTGGGGACAAAAAGATAGAACAATTCTGGGACATGATCGCTCGTTGAAGCCTAGAAGCATATTGGACAGAAGGTCGAGGACAAGGGGTTGGTTTTTTAGACAAAACAAAAATCCCGTCCAAGAAGACCATTCTACAGCTACAACCCAGCACACATCAAATCGAAGGAAACACGGCACCACCGATTAGACCCGCCGGCAAGGTCGGCGGATTCTTATAGTAGGTTCCAACGTGTGCTGGCATTGTGGTGCAAAGCGTGAGCACTTGTGTGTGTGTATTGTTTTCTGTGTGCGAAGTTTTCTTTAAGACAATCTGGGTTTGGGTTTCTAGCTTCAGAACAATTTTCACAGCCATTTCTGTCGATCTTCGGGTCTTTGCATCTTTTGGCACCGAGGGCGGGCCTGCATCGCACTGTCCAAATTGTGGCAGCGCCTTCCTCCCCGATTCGAACTTCTGCCGAAAGTGCGGAACGAAACGGCCGCAGGCCGGTAGGCTTTGAAGTGTTGGCTTCGTGCTTCACGGGGTGAGTTGTAGCAGTGTTTCTTTGTTGACAGGTTTAATCATCAAAAAGACGGACGAGCCCAATGATGGCTGAGGCCCTCCATTTGAAGCTGGACATTACGATGTTAATTTACATCTTCTGATCCTTGGCGCAGCTCGCAATTCTGAAGGTCAGCTTTCTCCCTCCGGCAGTGAGACGGTCTTTGTCAGAGGCCTCAGCTCTTAGCTCTTACCATCACGGTGTCCATACAACAATAGGTCCTCACATGCATGCTGTTTGCAACCTCTCCCCGCTGCATGAGAGCGCAGATTGAAATGACCTGAGGCAACCACACTTTGCTGTGGCATGGTACTGCTTAGGAGGGGATATATTTCGTTTGGCGAAGTTTCCTTGATGGCAAGCCAAAGGCAAGCTAAAGGCAAGCCAAAGGCTCAAAGGTCCAAAGGCAAGACGTGTCATTCTTTATTTTGCAGATTCTTCACTGTTTGTTTGCAGAGCTTGCCAGCTTCTCAATCACAGCGAGCGGCTGTGGAATCTATAATGCCAAAGCTGCATTGCTTTGAGTTCCAAAACAGCTCTTACGATTGTGATCAATCGATCTGGCGAGCTGTGAAGAGACACAGATGGCAGCAGTTTTTACTAGAAGAGTGAAGGATTGACAAAGCAGACGCTACAGGTCAGGGATCTATCTTAGCCTGTTGCCATTGAAGGAACCGCGCATGTGAGGTGTCGGGTGAGAGAAAAGTGAGGTGTCACTTTGTCTCAAAAACCCGAAGTCCAAAAGTCTCCTTTGTGCGGTCTTCTCTAATTCAGCTTTGCCATTTGAGATTCAGTCAGCTGTCTCTCAAGGACAATGCATTTGCTTAAAATGAGCCCATTTTCAAGCTGGCTGCTTCTTGCTTGATTGTCGGCATATCCATCTATTCCAGTATGCTGAACTTGCTTGCAAGCAGGTACCCCATATATTATATACATGAGGAAACATGAGGACATGTTAGCAATGCTACATGGTAGTTGCCGCCGTGTTGTGATTTCGGAAGTTTTGTGGCTCGTTGCCAATTGCAGGCGTTGATTGAAGCAAAGCTTGTGCCCGAGGCCGCGAAACGGTTGCTTCGATGCTGCTGCTGTTGCTGATGATGATGCCGTTGTGGCAGCACTTGGGGTTCTCAAGTAAGATCTACTGGTTTTGCAAATTTGCACCATGTGCAACCTTTTCAAGCAAAGAGGTCGTGGAAGGTGCATAAAAGTTTTTATATTTTTCGGTGCTCAACGGCCTTTGCCGTATGTATGTATATATCGACAATGATCGTTACTTACGCTGGAAGGAGCACAAAGGAGTCCTTGAAGAAGCCATGCGTCCTGGAGGGTGCTGGCACCAGATTTAGAGCTTCCCTGCCACAGGGCTCTTGAAACCGCTGAGGTCTGCTGACAAGCTTGTGGCAGCTTTGAAAATGTGGACTTTGGTCGAAGAGTATGCTTTGGTATGGATCTTGGACCCTTTGCCCATGTTCGATTGCTCAGCATACCTTCATTTCAGCACATCACAGGCCATTGTGGCCTTGCCATTTTTGGAGTTGCTCCTGGCTTTGGTCTTCGGTGCCGGACCCAGTATGTGCTTTTGGGACATGGTCCCTGACTTGCGAAATCGCGTAGATTACTCGTGGGCAATAAGAGATGCTTGGATGGCAGATGCTATAAACTGAAGCAAGTGAACCACATGCCAATATGCGGGTTGTTGCATTTAATGAATTTAATGTTGCATACTGTGTACGAAAAAGTCTGTCAACATGCTTCTGCGAGTAGCAATGCTAGGGTCCTGAGAACTGCGCAGATATTGGTCCTGCCATTCAGGTGGACTTTCTTGTGATTCAGGTCTTTCGGCCGTAGCCTCAAATTCGTTTCGATGAGCACCTGGCGATTACCTTATTGGTAAGCTTGCTCGTCTTGCAGGCATGGTTGCGGGCAGATGCATGGTTTTCCTGCCTCATGATGGGTGGTGTGGGCCGCTTAGATCTGCTCAAGACCAGAAGGTGATTCATTCTCTATGCTCGCAAGCTGCATTGTTAGTCACAGCTTATGATGCTCGAGCTAAGGGCTGGTTTTGTCACCTTCAAATGGCACCTGTTCTTCAGGCTGCACGGCAAGGTCACCTGAACGAACTTTGAGCCAATCTTGAACTTGGACTTGCCTTGCTTGCGTTGCCAGACCCACTGGCGCTTGCCCAACGCTGGCAGCAGCACCAGGCAATTGTGGGTTTGTCACCCTGAGAACGCGGTGCACACCAATCCAGTCAGGACTTGCCAGTGAGCAGACGCCTGGAGCAGCTTGTGCCGCGCTTGGCATTTCCAGGTGGAGTGTGCCACGATAGGCCCAACGATTCTGTTTGTGCTGCCCTGTCAAACATTCTGCCAAAGTGGTATGTCCAGTCATAAGTTCACTGCACTTCAAGTGGAATTCAGAGCCCCCAGCCAGAGGTTCCGGGTGTTGAGATTGGCGCGTATCAGCTGGGTGCTGTTGGTTCCAGTCTCAGGAATGAACACATGTGAGAAGCAAAGGAGTTTGGTTGCAAGGTGCAGCCGCGGCTGTCATCTTCCTTTTGATCGGCTTGGCCAACACGATTGTAGGCCTCATGGAATCTTGGCTTCAATGTTGCAGCATTTTGTTGCCTTTGACTTTAGACAGCACCCCCCACATCCTGCTTTGCACTAAATTTGGATACGGTATGATTTGGACGCACTTTGCCGTGGCTTGCATGTATTGGTGATCATGACACATCGAGCAAGAAGCAAGAAGTATGCGTATTCTTGCTCAGGAACTGCTGGCTTGACTCCCAGTCCACTCTTAAAGCCATTTCGTCACACTTCCAGAGTGAGTGATCAGATCTGTTTCAGGGAACCCTCGTGATGGGCTGCGCTATATTTGTCGTCCTCGTGAGCATGTTCTTCATAGCAGTGAGGCCAGATGAAGTTCGGAGTTCCCATCATTCCGCAATTTTGGACGACCTTCCCCAAACTACAGGATCAATATCTGAAAGGAATAGAAAACAAATGAATAAGGACATAGAAAGCAAACGAATAAGGAACGAGGAGGAAGAAGAGAAAGACAGAACAGGAAGAAGACACACTGGCAATCTGTAGACGAGCTGCCAAGTCTAGTCAAAAGGTGTGCCACTTTCGTTGGTATATTGGCAGCGGCCAAATACGTGCTGACTGAGATGCAGGCGAAGCCACAAGTGCTTGCAACTGTTTGGATGTTCCCTAGCAGCTTTAGCATACAGTATGCTGGCCTTGCACGAGGCTTTGGGTTTGGATGGCTACACCTCTGAGGCAATTTGTCTTTCCCTTTTCTTGGTGTTAAACACTGCCCATCTTTTGCCATCGCCCTTCCAGGATCCCCTTCTGCATGGTGGCGCATTCAACCGTGCCCCTCTCCAGCCATGAAGCACTTGAAAGCACTTGGCCGGTTTCACTCGTAGCTTTACCTGTAGCTTCGATCAAGCTACTTGAAGTTGCGGACGAGAATGAATGGCAATCAAGATCCAGAGCTTCCAAGTTGGAATGCACTACACTATGCTTTAATTAGCTTTGCCCTCGCTGGCGTTCATGAGCAGCCGTTCCAGCAAAAGACTTTGCATTTGTCAAATATCCCAGCATATCATCATTCCGACCAACCTGCTTTCACAGATGAAGTCTTGCTTGCATCCTTTTTGTTTGTTTGCTGATTCACAAGCGCTTCAATGTCGCGAGCAAAGCGCAAGACCAAGTCCAGCTGGTTCTGGCCTCAAGGGCAGGGGTGAAGGAAGAGGAGTGGTGCAGTGAGTGAGGTCTGGTCTATTCAAACATAGTTTTGCCCGGTTGGCTTTGTCAAGTTGGAGTGAGGTCTTCGCAAGTGGTGTCCATTCTGACAGCTGTTTGCTGTGCAGGTATTTGCGGTGCCAAACTCATTCACCTTGCACTGAAAACTGGCATCCCAAATCTGGTCTTCAGGAACAGTGTTCTGGATTATCAAGAGCACTGACCACTTGCAAAGTGAATTGGAGAGGCTTGGTGACCTCTATTTTTGAACCCATAGCTGCCATAGGTCGATCTTTGCTTTCGCCATAGAGCTTTTACATGCTTTTACAGGCTAGCTATTTTGGCTGGATCTCAAGCACGTGAAGTTGAGCAGCCACTCGATTTGAATCGAACACGTGAAGTTGAGTGTCAACAGGGAAGAACAGGACAGGTTCTTTTCGTGTCGGTGCAGAAAGTGAGAGTAGAAAAGTGAGTGTTCGGTTTACTTGGGTGTCTTTCGGGTCTGGAGCGAGTCCTCTACTTTGTCACGTGCCCATGAGTCGAGGCTCTTCAATGTTAGCCGCTGACTTCGTTGGACGCGGGCTTTGCGTGAAGATGACCTAGAAGCTGCGAAGGTGCCAAGGTGCCTTGGCGCATGATTGATGTGCATTGAAGAACCGCTCGCACTTGCATCCTGTGGCCCAGCTGACGAACCAGTGATCAAGTGGCAATGCGACGCTGCAACCTTTACCCTTAAGACATTCTTGTGTCTTGACCGCCATCAGGGCCATGAAACCCCTCTTGTCCTTTGTGACAATTGCCATCGCGGCCATCGCGACTGCCGAGTCCACCTTGGAGGCTCTGGAGGTGGATGACGCATGTGCAGCTAATGGAGATTGCAGTCAACTACCAGGACGAGGATGAGGAGGAAGAATGGACACAACTTCAGGGCGGAGCGCCGTCAGAATCATTTGGGCATTTGGAAGAAAGGAGCTGACGGTGCATTGAACCAATGCGTGCCGCTCTTGCAGGTGCTGCGCAGCCTGCACGGCGCATTTGCTGGAATGCTCCTGCGCTGCGACAAGAGCACTGGCTGTGTGAGGAACGGCTGCCGTCCAAGTATGAAGAAGTGCAGAGGCCTGAACGCTGGTTACAGAGCCCCTGACTATCATTGGCCCAATGTGGTCATGTTAGAGCAGGAGACTTGAAAAAGGATTCTTGATTATTTGAACACCATATCTACTTGTACTTGAGCATGGTGGAATCCTCTTGTTTCTTTTCTTTGGTTGGCATTCTAGCTTGTCAAGGAGTCTTGCAGCTGAATTCAGAAGATTAGAGCTACGTGTGGTCGTGCCTGCACCTTTGTGGCTCAAGCTTGTTTGTAGTGAGTCGAATATTTGCCCATCCAGCAGAAGCTGGAATTTTCCGCATGCGCTCCTTCCGACGTTTTCGCCTTTCTGGGGCTTTAGTGCTGTGCGCTTTTCTGGCGAGCGAGATTGCATTCTTAGGCTTTCCAAGGCACGAGATGCTTCAGATGGTTTTTGCACATTGCTTCAAGTGCGATCTGACTGATACCGCACAGATCGACTCAGGCCGGTGCAACCTCCAAACGCCACCGATGCCCCTGCCGCAAAGCTCGTTTCAAAGAGTGTAGAGGCATCTCAAATAAGCACAGAGAATCTCGGCTATCCTGCCTTTCTTTGTTGAGAATTTGCTTTCGTATTTGCAAGTTGTCCTTGCTTGTGATTGTGATTGAAGATCGATCCTTTCAAGGAGAGTGGAGGAAAGAATAGAGGAGCACGTGAGCATTCCTGAGATTTTGAAGCGCTATGGCCTGCCAGCACTCTTCTTTCACTTCATGGTTTGGGTCAGCACTCTGTCAGCCTGCTACTTGTTCTTGTCCATTAACACCGGCATTCTCGAGTTGCTCCCCGCTGAGCTTCAGCAACGGATAAGTGCCTTGTTTGATTCTTCGCCAGTGAGGACAGCTTTACAGAAGATTTTTGAAGATACGATTTGAACAAATGAGGAGGCCATCGCTACTGTATTAGGTTGGAGGCAGGTTGGAGGCCATTGCTATTAGGTTGGAGGCCATCGCTAGTAGGTTGGAGGCCGGTTGGAGGCCATCGCTCTTAGGTTGGAGGCCATCGCTGCTAGGTTGAAGGCAATTGCTATTAGTTTTTTTTTATCTCTCTCTTTTTTCTGTCTTTTTTTGCAAGTAGGTTGACAGATGACTTCTCCCGTCTTTGGGAGAACGAGGTGGTGGAAGCCAGATCGGCTATGCAGCAGCTGCTTTGGGTGCTGCTGAAGTCTTAGGCGCATGTTGTAAGTTTGTTGAGCCTTGCGGCTCATTGATTTCGTGAAGGCTTTTCTGCAGTGCAGAACAGAAGGAGATGGAAATAAGAAAGGTAAGGGCACCTTCAACCCTTGTTAAATAGGCCCTTTGATGCGCTTTTTGCAAGACTTGGCTCTTCAGGCCCTGCACGTCTTGCTTTGACTGTGGCAGCAGCACCAACAGCATCGAGGGTGGCAAGGCAGTATGACTGGTTCCGCAAGACGGAGGAAGAGATTGCCCCTTGCAATTGGAATACAAAAAAAACTGTCCCTTTCTTTACATCTTTCTTCCCTGATTGTCATTATTGTTTTTCTTCTTTGGGCATTATTTTTTCATTTTCTCGTCCTTGGCTCAAGTTCTGTCTTTCTCTTTGCGTTTCCAGGCTGGAATGTGAACTGAGGTTCGATTTTTCAGCGATGCTACTTCGTCTTTGTCTCAAATGTTCTTGAAGGCATAAGGCATAGCTTGGAGATTGCCTCGTGGCAGATCTCAGTTCAGTCAGGCCACTCACAGGTCTCACCCCAAGGTTCGCCCTGTCTAAGCAATTTCGCACGGTGAGCTGTCCATATGGTTGCAGAAAGCTGGTAGAACCTTGGATGAATGTACAGGTTTCGACTCTTGCATTCTTGGTTCAGTACGTCGCTGAACTTGACTACAAACTGGCATATAACGTTTTTGAGCACCGGGCCCCACCAAACGCAAAGACCGAAAAGTGCGCCAAAAAGAACTACATTGGACCCCCAACCCCGAAGAGCACGACTCCAGGATGCTCGGGACTTTGTCCCGGAAGAACCACTGTCGCCACCCTCCGTGTGGGGTTGCCAATGATGACCAGGTGACGCGACTCCTCAAGGTTCTCCGGCTGCCGGCTATGTTTGCCACCTTGCTAACAGTCGCGCCCAGAGCCATGTCAGAAGCGATCATAGGCTGTGAACAGACGCAGGAGCCCAAAGCTGCTGCTATCATGTCAGACGCATCCAGAACTCGTAGCTAGGTGGAAAGGAACAGGGAGCCAGGTCCCGAAAGACAATGGGTTTGGAGATGTTTGCTTCTTGGAGACCCTAGTAAACGCTGAATGTATTTCAGGGATGGTGATGGTGGTGGTGCTGGTGACGCTGGTGGGCGGTGATGGTGGGGACGGTGGTGATGGTGGTAAGCGCAGCAAATGCTCTCGCATATATCAACCGGTGGACCATCTGGTCGGGGGCACTCCGTGTTGCGAAACCCAGGCATGATGGATGACAGGATAGACCACAGTTGCCAGGTCTGGAGCAAAGTATTTCCAAACTGGAGCCAGTGCCTTCGTGATCGGCAGGCGTGAGAAGCCCTCCTCCAGAGCAGCCTGAGTAAAGGGCAGAACAGTCAGTGCACTGGATTGCAAGTCGAATGTGGCATCTCCAAACAGATTACTGAAGTGGGACACCAATGATCGAAGTTCTTGGTGCGGCATCAGGGGTGCCCCATGTTCATCATACATTTGAATCTTCCTGAATGGCTGTTTGGGATACAATTTACGAATGTTGCGGTACCAATCATGCATCCGCTTGGCAAGTGCATTGGTGACATTGTCTCTAAGGTATCGGTATCGAATTTGTTTCTGTTGTTTTGTCTGCCATACTGACGTATCTGCTTATGAAGGCGTGTAAACACGGTGCTATTGTGCCAGCTTTGAAACATGGTCTTGACCGAGACAATACACATCAATCTTATCTGAACGTCGAGCATGCCACATGCGTGCGGTGAGGGATCGAAGATGGACATCAGGTGTGTGCAATGACTTGAGGCCTGGAAAATGAACAATACACAACTCTCGAATGGTCATCTCCATAGAAAGGCAAATCTGAAGGGGATCCTGACTGGAATCTGTAGTTTATCTGAGGATACAACTGCGGACCGCACAGTCAAACTCCTGCCACCGAGGAGTGGAATTGATCATCTCCTGGCGCATACCATGGCGGTCAATGGGTTTGTGGGTACAGGGTGGTTGTCGAACGGCATGCCATTTGGGGAGACACAATAGCAAAGGCCGATGCTGAGGACCCTGATGGAGACCAATGTGCTCAAACTTGCAATCTACAACAGCCTGAAGGTGTTTCCATCGAAGTTGTGGTTCTCTAAGAAACATAAAATCAATCCTGGGTTTGTGATGTCCATGAACGAATGTGGGGATGTATTTCTAACGACAATGAACAGCCACCAAGGCCAGGTCAGCAATGAGCTGCTGGAAAGTCATTTTATCGGTTTGGAGGGCTTTTCAAACCGGGGATTATGACTTCCGACATGTGGTGCGGCTTGCTGTAAGGGACAGTTAAAATCACCTGCAACGACAAGCATGTGACTATTGGGTTATTAGGGATGTGCAAAATGCCCTGTCTCAGCCGATGCCACATGTCCTGCCTTTCACGAAGCAAGGTGGTCACCGATTTGGTGGTGTTCCAAGCTGTCTGATAGACCGCATACACATCATGGACTCGGCTGAACATAAGTCTCAAATGGATCAATTTTCCAGGGATCAAAACAGCATAGGCCAACAGAGATGGCCTGAGCAGTTTCCGTCGAACCATCAAAAGTAGGCTGGCGGATGCATCATGTGAATGAATGCAATACCAATCATCCGTGGTCCATTGACCATTCATCTGCCATCCGGATTCCTGAATGAACAGGACGTCTTCATTTCTACCAGCACACCAGGATAGCCACTCGTGGTAGTTCAGGCTGCGGCCCGCATTCCAGCTGAAAAATCTCAGTGCCTCCTTGGGTGACTGTGGAGGTCGTTTCAAGGAAGGTGCAGCACATGTAGAGCGTTCCAGCTTCAAGGAATTGCGGAATGCGACATCCACTGACCAGAATGTACGACCCTTGTAGGTGGTGTGACCTTCAAGTAATGCCCGCTTGCAAGCCCTGCGAAAGGACCTTTTGATCCTGCGGATTCGAGCTGGTTGCGTCACATGGCCGTAGCCAAACATCGCCCAGACTTCATTCGTCTTTGTGCAGGCAGGCAATATGAGGTGCTTCTGAATGACCTGCACTTCTGCTATCCAGCGAAGAATGGATAGCAACCCTCACGCCAGGTGTATGGAATGTTGCTGAAGGATCTGTATTGTCCAATACACCGCCGGACTTGGGACCGGGCTTGCCAAACTCATCAATATCCAAAATATGATCTGCAGCCTGAAAATCATGATATCACAGACCGCGGTTCCGACTCCTCATGGTGGAAGTGGTCGAGGGAAACGGTTGCCAAAATTTGAGCTGGCAATGGCGCTTTATTTATTTAATATATATCTATATATATTAAATTATGATATATTTTTATCTGTATTTTAATATTCTTAAATTCAATTAAATATATTTCAATTATACAATATTTTTATTTAGTTAAACAAAATATGTATATGTAACGATTAAAATTCTTTATATATAATAAAATAATGGTATTATGTTTTAATTTCTTTATTCCTTATATATAATGTAGAATTTATTTTGATTAATATGTAATATATCGAATTTTTTGTATAGGATATTTTTAACATATTATTTTTTTTTTTTTTTTATATATATTAATAATTTTATAATATATAATTGAATTATTGTTATTTAGAATATCGATATATTTTTTAAATAATTTTTTAAATATATTATAATTATTTATATTTATATTAAAATTGGGGATTGTATTTTTTTAAAATAAATAAATATATATATTTCTATATTATTTATTTATGTTTAATTATATGTATTTTAACATATTAATGATTTTATAAATGTAATTAATATTTGTGAATATGGATAATTTGAAAGAAGATTGTAATTGTCGTTTTTGGGCATGAATTGGTTTTTATTTCCTTATTTAACCGTTATTTAGAACGGTGGGATTATATATTATTGAGCATGGTAACGTTAGCGCGAGAAGGACGCATTTAATTCGCTTGAATTTTCGCTGCAATTCGAATTCGTATATTTCGAAAGATACAAACCTTATGGGAATTATTTAATTTTAAATTGGTAACGGAATCGTAGGATTTAGGCTGTTGTTACAACACGCCGAGCATTATATTATCCTCGTTCGCTGCATCCATAAACAAAGATTCTTTCTTAAATCGACTTTAGGATTACAGGGAATGGAGAACAAGGATTTACCTCCACCTCTACCAGAAGAAGATGGTGCAGCAAAAGAAGTCGTAAAAAGGGGTTATAAACCTCTTGACCACCCTTTTAGGATAGCCTGGATTTAAATCGACCCGATCGCAGAATCGGCCAACGAAGATAAGGATGGAGGATTTAAGAAGGGGATTGAGATCCTCGACAAAACTTCCGTTACGATGTAAGAATGGAGCAACCAAGAAAATTCGAAAAATTCTTCTATAGCATTAGCAGACGATACGACCAAACCTTGATGTCGTATTGCACTGAACATCGAGAAGCCCTTCGTAAAGTGGAAAAGCACGGAGTCAAATTATCTCTAGAGATTACGGATTGATTGATGCTCAGAAGAAGTGGTCTGTAGTGGTCTGTCCTAGGACTAAAGTACCCCCCGCCAATGTGGCACTAGCCTGGAGGAGAGCAAGGTTGAAGAGGCCATGGACTACCTGTACGGTTAGGACTACCGTGGGAAAGTGGGGTACTCACAACGCCCCGCTGGTGGAAAAGGAAAAGGAGCCAATAAATGGCGAAAATCAGCACAAGTTTACACCATACTTCCCTGAGGAGACCTACGACCATGAAAATGAAGAGATTCTTTATGAGGAGACCTACGCTGAATTCGATGACGAGGCCTATGATAAAGAGGCCGATGAAGAATCAACTCTATACGCTGGCTATGATGAAGACTACCCAGACCAAGAAAACCCTGAATACGAGGAAGCCTATGCCACCTACTTGGACGCCAGAAGACGCTTCGCTGAACTGCGAAACAACAGAGGCTTCTTCCCCCGTCGTTGCACTGACGGAGAATTCCTCCATACCGACGTCATCAACCCAGAGGCCAATTCCGAGCCGAGCCAAAGGAAAAGGAGGAAAAGGAAAAGGTCCCAGATCACCGCCTCAAAAAGGTGATGTGAAGAGGCAAGTCAGTGTTGTAAAATAAAATATGTCTGCGATGTGGCCAGCCTGGACACTTTGCAACTCAGTGCACCCAGAAGAGGAGTCCAACAACAAGCCCTACCAATTCCTTCAAAAAGGCCAAAGCCGAGACAGCAATGATGGTCCATTTCGAAATGAAGGACTATCAAAGCATCCCTAAGGGATTCTTCGGCACCATGGATGGCGGGGCAAGCTGCATGGTCATTGGCTATGATGTCCTGATGAACTATATCGAGAATTACCACGAGCAAGGCTTTGACACCTCCAGCTTCCACTTCCGGCCAGCCGAAAAGACTTTGCAATTCGGCGGAGACAAGAATACAAGAGTTTGGAAGCCCAGTGGACCGTCCATATGCCAGTGTGCATCCAAGGTCACCTCGGCCGCACTCAGGCATTCATTGTGCCTGGACCGACGCCCTTGTTGATTGGTAGGCCTATCCTCAAGGCCATGAAGCTACAGTGAATTTCACCGAAGACACCATGAGGTTCGACAAGACCATGGACACCCATCGTAACTGGTTCCAGAGGTGAACACCTCCTCCAGTTCGACCAAGGTCCACAAGACCTCCCAGACCACAACAACTATGAATTCGACTACATGATGGAAGAGACCTATGCACAACTCACACAAGAGCCAACAAGAGCAGAACACTACACCTTGGCACATTATATCGAACTCACAGGCCTTTCTGCTCCCAACTTGGGAGAGTAGGCAATGCAAGCTGATGAGACAACCACGAAGAAGACAACAATGACACCCCAGACCCCGAAGATGATGAAGACAC